TTTTGTCTCTACGAGCCTTTCTATTTTCCACAGAATTTTCTAGATTTTCCCTCGCTGATGCATAAGTACTATGCAATTTACTAAGTAAATCTTTGGCAAAGTCCTCAGCACCCGCATAAGAGAAAGGTTTATGATTCCTGAGAAATTCCAGAGGTAAAGTTAATTCCCTCCCATATGTTAACAGTGCCGAAGTACTTGCAATGTTAAAAGGGAAAAATTACCAGGTATAAATACACCCGTTTGACCATCCTGTGGCGAAAGCTTATCTTTAGGACACATATTCGATTATAATTCAAATTTCACAAGCACACTATAACTTGAATATATCCGAACTTGTTTACGTCTATTTCAAAAACTGGGAATACATAAATACACTCAAATATGATACAACTTAAAACACATAAAGAGTAAAGTCAAATGTCAACATCTGGAAATGCAAAAGATTGCGCCACTAATTTGTGCTCTTTCTATTAAATTTGCCTATCCTGGTCACGGCACCAATTCTGTACCGTTACCCTTCTAACTTTGGCCAGGCTGTGATTTTTTAACTGAATTTTGGTAACGGTTAATCAGGTTCAAAAATAGACACTTGACTAATGAAGTACATGAAACTTTTAACAATAAAAAGTAAATTTTATTATAACTATAAATTATCAAAAAACACAATCCCGATCATTTCCAGATGCCTTCATGTGCACTAAAAATTTCAATTTATACACTTTTAACTTTCCAAATGGTTATACTCAAGATAAAACTTTTCGATAAAAAAGCACTTTTAAATTTCATATGCATAACATTAAATTAATTCACACTAAAAGAGACATTTACGAAATAAAATTACTAGCTCATTCTAAATTTACAAAAACATTTAAACTTTAAGTCCTTGTATTCCTACAACAGATAATTAAAATTAAATTTAAATATCCAAGGCTCATCTTAAAATAGGTATCTTAACACCGGATAGAAATAATTTAAAATACGGAATAAAATGCTCTTCCAAAGAGTTACTAAAAAGGTAAGAAATTAGAGTTTATAAATACAAAGGAACTTGCAGATCACCTTCTGGAACGCCCACCGGGCCTGCAGTTAGACTTGTGGACTAGAAGAACTTCTACCTTCCGACCACCATTCAGTTCTTTAGAAACACTCGATTTTCTGCCGAGGAACGCTCACTTCTTGTCAACCGTCTTGAATCTAGCGACACTCCGTCTATCATTTTCCGTCAACTATTCTGAGGCTTCAGATCAACTTTCTACCAGGCAACAGCTCATCCGATCAATGTGGCGTACTTAGTCGCGGTTTCCAGGGACTCTTTCCAAATATCAACCTTTCAGCATTTCCGCCTAGATCAACTCATTCCGAGACTCCAGCTAAGTCTAAACTCATTCTCGATGTCTATTGAAAAATAACCCTTCTTTAAAAATTGATACAAAAAAAACTCCAATAAATTCCTATTTATTACAATGGCAGGAATTCCCCCTCTGCCCTGTGCGTCTCTAAACACGTCTTCGATGATCGTCAGGACACAGTTGGAAGCGGGATTCGTCGCTAAAGACTATACGTCCCCAGTCGGTATCATTCCACCCTGATCTGTTCAAAACATTCATGCATACGAAATTTCAAAGCAATCGGATGATTGCTTCTTGATGCGTCGATTTTTTTGTTATAGAGTGTATTTCTAGTCGTTTCCTCACTACTTAATTTTTATTTTTGAATGAAATATGATTTTCATTTTTTAAAGTTTTTGAGAGAAAATACTGTTGTACTTAAATGATTAAAAAATTTTATATAAGCTTAAAGCTATATCTTCACTCATTTTTTTTTAAAATAAATGTATTTAGGGGAAAGGGGTAAGACCAATTAACTAAGATTCGGATGCCTGTTGGAGTTAAAAACTCTTAGAAACTGTCAGATTTAATCAAAATATTCATTCTTTAGTTCTGTACAATATATCATCCCTAAAACTTCATAGAGGTATACCTTTTCTTACAAATCATTATTGCCTAGAAAAAGTCAAATCATGCTATCTTATTAAACTAGTAAGGTAAGATCGGGCACACGTGCTAATTTAGAAATATTATTATTTTAATCAGAGATTATCGAAACGTAATAGAACAATGATATTATTGGGCTAAAACCTTATTGTCTGTTAAGTTATGAATCTTTAATAAACGTAAAATAAACTGATCTAAAAAGAATTTTTGTAGCTGTAATAATCAATAAATAAGGCAAGTTTTTTTATTTTATTTTTTTTTTATTTTAAATTAGAGTTTTCACGTAAGGAAACAAAATACGTCGTGATTTTATCAATAACACGCCAATATGGTAGGTCTTTCTTCGACTAGTAAAGTGTAATTTAGAGTTTAGAGTTGGTTCACTAAAAAGACGGAGTTAATTTCAACCTAATCAAGGTATCCTGTCTCACCACCCTACTCAGTCTTACCCCACTTTCCCCTAACTATGCCTTTATTAATTTGAGTTTTTAGCTTCTTTTTATAGTTTATGCATTTTATTTTCCTAATTTTAAGTGATTTCCTCGATTGAAAAACATATTAATTAGTTTTGTTCCTCAAAAAGCATAATTGCTTTACAATTCGCTTAGATGAATTTCTAATTTGCAGAAAAATACAACTTCATTTTTTATATAGATATTATTTTTAATCCCTACCAAAACTAGGGATATCTCTATGAAAATTCGTATTCTATTTATTACAATTCCCACCGCGATCATTTAATTAATAACGCATTCTTTTACATGAATGATTTTTATTATCCAATTATATGCCTTATCGATATTCGTTATGTTCTAAAATAAAAGTCAATAAAATTACCATTAAAAGAAGTGCACAATAAACTATCAAATCGACCACGAAACTGTCGTAAAAAAAGAACATTCCAATCAGTCATATATACAAACAATCCCTAAAAAAAAAGATGTTCTATTTTTTAATTTGTGTTCTTTTTTACAAGCAGTCATTTAGGAAATCCTAGTTAAGTGTCTGTCTGTGATTGCCTCACCTGCTTTTCCCTCACCTCTACCCCTTCACCCACACACCCACCATCCAAGCGCAAAACGCTTTCAGCAACTGTGAAACATTCGCGAACTGATTTTCAAACAACTCGCATGCATTCATTCCCCTGGCCCGCTGGTTCCACAGGTATTTTTCTATCCTTCCTTCCTGCTTGTCACATACCAGAAAGAGCGGGGAGAAAAATAAAAAAGAATAAAAAATTACGCGTACCTGACTGTTAATTTAGAAAAGTTTTTTTTTGCCATAAGTGATGTTCGTATTGTAAAGCGAGGATTTCGTGATAATGCCACCTCTTCTGGAATATATCATTTCATTTCTCGGTACTTCTGAGTTTAACTCTATGCAGACGATTTTATTTGTCAATTTAAGTGCTTAGGATTAAATAGAAAGGTGAATTGAAAATGTATATACTTATTTCAGCTAAATGAGAAGAAAAAAAATATTTCTCAAAAGTGCATTTTACGAGAATTTAACTGCAAACGTGCAATTAACTGCAAACTATAAATTATGATCTTAAACGAATTTTTACACCCAATTATTATTGAAGCAAGGCTGTGTCAGTGAAATATGTGAATTTAACTGCAAGGATATTGAAAGAGCCGGTGTTAACTGTGGATTTTAAATGTTTATTTCAGGCTAGCATGATATTGCCGAAATTTTCTTTTTAGTTAAAAATCGTTTGCCTGTCTCAGCATATTTTCTAACATTTCATTTCACGAAGTTCCTCAACATACACTTGAGGAAAATTGTGCATTTATCTTGCTTGTTTCTGAAATTTCAGATTTTTCAGTTTTTTTCAACAGTGGAAGAAAAGTAAACTTTTCCACTTTTTGTTTAGCCATTATGTGCAATTTATTGAAGCTACTACTCGTTCTAAAATAAAATAAATAATAATGGAAGCCACGGAAGAAGAAGAAGAAATTGAAGAAACTGTTTATTTTGATCAATCTCAGGATGAAGTGGATAACTTTATTGTTGTTTCAACGTTGGTAAGTTAATTTTTTAATTATGCATATTTTTGTACTCTTTTGTTCAAGCTATAACACTTTTTTGTAACAAAACAGTCTAAAATTTTCCAAATAGTTTTAGTTTAATTGATTTTATGAAAATGAGTCTATGAAATGAAAATGAAAAGTTGTTTATTTTGATTAATCTCAGAATGAAGTAACAAAATTTATTGTTGTTTCCACATTGGTAAGTCGATTCATCTATAAGAAATTGTTTTAAACGATTTTGCAAATGTCATGATTCTGTTTTGTTAAAATCGAAAGAAAATTCTTAGATGAAGTTTTGTATTAATAAATTTTAAAAGTGAGTAAAAAAACTAAAAAGAAATGGGGGGGGGAAATGTTTATTTTGTTTAATGTTAGGAAGAAATTAAATAGTTTTGGTTCCAAATTGCTCACTCAACTAATCTATATAGTAAAAAATTTTGAACACTTTCTATAAAGTTACAACATATTTACTTGGGAAAATATCCATATTAGTGATTTAAATTTTTTAACCAATTATTTTTAGAGGAGTCGGAAAAAGAAATTTAAAAAAATTGCAAATTTTAAAAAAAATTTAAATTTTAAATTTAAAAAAATTTTAAATGTTTCATTTTGACATAAAATGTAGCAAACTTTCACGAGGATGCCTAAATTTTAGGATTACAAGTACAATGTATTAATTTTGAAGTACATTTCACTTAATTTTACTAACCTACACTGAAGAAAAAAGTATGGTCAAAACTACCAGAAGATGGTAAAATTTACCATGTTTCTAGCTCTATGGAATATCAAAAAACTTCGTAAATTTCATTAAAGCGCTTTGGAAATGACTTTGATAAAATTAACTATAATATATTTTCATAATATGTGATAAAATTTGGTAAATGTCATAAAATTTGGTTATTTTATCATGATCCCTTAGAGCATGGCATAAAAATCATTTATTTTGAATTTTCATTTCAGTTTTTTATTTTTTACTAAATGTGGTAGTAAGAGCTATAATTTAAAAAGCCAGAATTTACGTTAAACCGCTACTATATAAACGAAAAAATGACCAAATGAATGAATTAAATACCGCATAGTTTTTTTTTTTTGATTAATCATAATTGTGTTTTTTTTTTTTAATGAGAAATGTCAGTGCGGTAATTTTACCAGCAATATTGCGTCGACGAAGAAAAATTTCCCCTAATCTTGACACTTAACTGTAACAATATTTCTAAGCTGATTTATATTATTTTATTTTTTAAAAAAAATACGCTTTGCATGGTTCATAAAAAGAGCTTAATGGAAAAAGGTTCTAAGCGATAATTCAGTAAATGTAGAAAATCATCTTTGGAAAACTATAGCAACAGGGGGAAACTGTTGAAGGTAAAAAAGATGGAAAAGAACGCATTCTGAAAACCCGTGTTTTTCATAATATATATAAACCGAAAACTTCACTCTTTTAAAAAATGCCACCAATCTTTTCAAACCTGCATAAAGTTTCTCTCATCCTGAAGAATCAGTTTTGTATAAAATAACCTTATATAAGTAATGTTTATAGCTTTCTATATAATAACCGAATTTGATTAGAAATCACTAAAATTAGTTTATAATTAAGTAAATTTAATTTTCGCATCTCTAATTACAGTCTTTTAGCATCTGATTCGTTCTAATTCAGCTTTAATAAAGCTTAAACTAATTAACGTCTCAACTGGTTTCATTTATGGCTTTCGACTATTCCTTGCGACCATGCATAATAATATGAAATAATTAATAATTAATTTATAAATTAGTTAATCTTCTGGATCTTTGAATTCTCGTTTCGCTAATATACGTAAAAATAAGTATCCTCATCTAATATTCAGTGTATATCTGGGAAATTTGTTTTATCAAGGAAAATATCCATGATTTTGCATGCGGATATATTACAATAAGTGGCTATTGTATGATTAGTAAGTTTTTTATCGCGATTCATGCACAGAGAAAGAAATTCTGTTTAAACTGTATGATAATAATATTTCTAGTAAAGAAAAAAAGAAAACAAAAGCTTAATTTTTGTAATAAGAACCAAAATGTTTAAACCATTCAGAAGGTAATTTTTTCGTTCATATGTTAGTGGTTCATATGTACCGAAACTTTTAGTTTTCAAAATTATAGTTATTACCATACGTACAAAAGTTATTATAGTTATTATTACGTAGTAAAAAATACAAAATTAAAAAGTAAATTTAATGGAATAAATGAAATTTATCTGAGGTATCATGATAAAATCACCAAATTTTACCGCATTTACCAAATTTAATCACATATTATAAAACCATATTTTATTATTAATTTTACTAAAATCATTACCAAAGCACTTCGGTAAAAATAATCTAGATTTTCGGTGTTCCCATAGAGCCAAAAATACGGTTATTTTTACCATATTTTGGCAGTTTCAACCACAATCAAATGACCTAAATCAATCAAACCTAACCTAAATCAATCAAATTTGAGTTTTAACTACCAGAAAAATAGTGCCTGGATATATTTTATTTTGTATTAAAAGAAAACTTTAATTTTAAAGAAAAAAAAATATTGAACAAATTTGTTATTATAAAATAGTTTCTTAAAATAGTTTTCTTAATAGTTTCTTGAAACTTAAAATAGATTCTTAAAATAGTTTTCTGATTAAATCGTCCCTTTTTTCTCATTAATAGCGAGGAAAAAAATACTTTAGACTTTAAGTTAAAAATACTTAAATGTATGAAAGAGAGGAAAAAAAAACAGCTTTTTTTCATAAACCAAGAGCATACATAACGATAGAGTTATTTGTTTAGGGTTTCGAATATCTGCTCTGTACCTCTTCGATGTGCCTGATATTGTAGATTTGAACGATACTGGAATTTCGAAATCGCGATCTATCGTCAGCAAGTATTAATATTTAGTGATGCATCGCGATATTTTCCCAATATAATTAGTTTTTACAATAGTCGATATTTTCATTATTCAAATGTATTTAACTGAAGTAATATGGTATTCGACGATTATCCTTATTAATAATTATCACGATATTATCCATGTCGATAATTTTCTTACACTCGATATTTACCGTAACAATTGATATTTAGGATTTATATAGTCAAATTAATTTTTAAAATATCATGATCACGATGTTTAAAAGTGTCCGTATCATACGATACATCAATATATTGTCCAGTTTTATTCTAAAGCTATTGTTAGAGATTTAAGCCAGCTTTTAAGACTTATAAACTTTATTTTTATACAAAATATGAGTTTTGTGTTTAAATACGTCATCTAAATCCTATTTTTTTCTTTGGAAAACTTTCCAAAAAAAATTTTTTTAAGTATATTCAATGAAAATCTCATTTTTAATTTAATTGAAAAGAATCCTAAAATAATTATATAGATATCTAATTTTTCCATTGTCATTTTTAAATTACTATTTATCTTTAATACAGTAATGAGTCCTTTTAAAATTTATGTGAGAACAAATAAAACTTAGCTAAACTTTTTTTCAAGAAATTAATAAAATTATATAATAAATAATATTGTTCATTTGTAAAATGCTTTAAGGATTCGAAATGTAAATAGATTTCTTGCTTCTTTAAAAAGATTTCGTCGAACTATATTTTTTTCCCTAGAAATTTACCCGTAAAACTATTTATTTCTAGAAAATCTGGTGAATTTTCGAATTATGGTGATATTTAAACTAAATAATATGTAAATAAATCCAAAAAAAAATTTCGGCTTACTTTTTCTTCTTAGTTTAAATCTTCATGCTGTTAGCTTTTAAAAGTTTTAAAAATAAAAAATTTAAAATTTGTTTTGAAAGAAAATTAATTTTTTTTATTTATTTTTAAATTTAACATTTTGAAATATGAATGTGAATTTCCATGAATATCATTCCTTTTCTTTTTTATTATCCTTGAGTAATTAAATTCGGTCCAATTGTTAAACTTTTTCAAGAAGAAATGAATTTTGCTCTTGCAATTTTAAATAATAATGAATTATTAGATTATTAAGGTCATAAAGTATTTTTAATTTCTGCCTAATTATCTACTTCTTTCAAAGCATGTATGAATTTTTGCTCTTACAATTTTAAATGATAATAAGCTAATGCGAATTAAAGCGTTCATTGATCAAAAAGTTATGAGACTTACTTATAACTACAAGTTTTGTATCAATTAACAATTTTATTTCTCCAATTATACTTCCATTGTTTCAAGATTATTATTTATAAGATTATAAGAGTGCAAGACATTATACTCATTTAATTTTTATTTTATTTCAGTCAAAATTTTGTGAAAAAGAATTTTAAGATCATTAAAAAAAGAAAATTATTCAGGAAAAAAGTGCATTGCTGTTCTATTCTACCGGTCGTTGGCTTTTTAACAAGTCTTCAGGTTTTTTTTGGGTTTTCTAAATAGAGTTAAATTGAAATGGAGCGATTCAAATAAATAAAATAGATCCCTGTAGCCTTTTAAGATACACGGAAAAATAAAATTCTAGTAAACTTACCGTATTGACATTTCTGGTAAAGAGTTTGATGATTTTTTCTTTTATATGGTAACGATTTACAGGAAATTCTGGTTTTCAGTATTATAGTTCTTTTTAACAAACATTTTTAAAAAAGTACAAAATTAAAAAGTAAATTTAACCGAATAAATTGTTTTTATGCCATGCTCTACTAAGCTTTTATTATGATAAAATCACCAAATTTTGCCTCATTAACTAAATTTTATCTCATATTATAACACTTTATTTTATGGTTAATTTAAACAAAATCATCATTAAAGCACTTCGGTAAAAATTTCCACGCTTTCTAGTATTCCCATAGATAACACGTTAAATTTAAAATCATATTCTGGTAGTTTTGACCATGCTTTTTTTCTTAGTGTTAAGACGTCGCGACAAATGAAAAGTAAATAACTGATTAAAACGATCATGTTAACTCTACGACGATGAACACCCAAGAATGTTTAAAACAAAAAATTTTGAATGTTACTTTTATA